TCCATAATTTTGTTTACCATTTATGATATACTTGTATATATAGTTGTAATTCATTCATGATTAGTCAGAAGGGAAAATTATATTTCATATGGTATCAAAGCGGGGTAAATTCTCCTAAAACTTTCTTTCATTTCAAAGCCGGCACAATGGTTGAAAATAAAACAACCAAATTTTTTGGCAACCCAAGTCAGTTTCATACTTCAACAATTTCAATTAACCTTGAATCTTGTAAGGAGCTTTTGAACCTACATTCCTTTCTTGATGACGTTCCTGGTAAAAAATTCATGAATCTTAGTGATTGGATCATCAATAGTGGTGCATCTGACCATGTAACAAGTTACAAAAATAAACTTGAGCAATTGTGTTCTTTTTCCACACGTAATCATGCAAAAATTCCAAATGGAAATCCTATCTCTATTCATGGTGTTGGGAGAGCTTTTTTAGCTCCTAATACTGTCCTTGATAATGTTTTATATATACCTGAATTCACTAGTAATCTTTTATCTGTGAGCAAACTTACTAAAGATTTAAATTGTGTTGTTAGTTTCTTCCAACATATTGTATTTTTCAAGACCTTGCATTCAAGAGATTGATTGGAATAGGAGCAACGAATAACGACCTCTATTACTTTAAGCCAATCCAAGAGACTCCAAGTCTAAATGCCACTCTTTCTCCATCCATGGAACTTTGGCATCAAAGATTGGGACATGCCTCGTTTGGCCATTTTTCCTTATTATCTAAAAATATTTCTTTGGATCCTACATCTTTTCCTAAATGTTGTGATGTTTGCCATCGAGCAAAACAAACTAGAAGTACTTTTCCTATTAATCATAAACATGCTAAATCACATTTCTTTCTTATGCATTGTGATATTTGGGGTAGATACCATACCCTTTCCCATTTAGGGACACATTATTTTTTAACTATTGTTGATGATTTTACTCATGCTATGTGGGTATTCTTAATGAAATACAAGTCTGAGACTTATCATTATCAAATCATGTTTGTCAATACAATTAAAACTCAATTTGGATTTCAGGTTAAACAGGTACACTTTGACAACAGACAAGAGTTTCTTTCCAATTCTATGCAAGCCTTCTTTCATGAGCTAGGGATAATACATCAAACCTCTTGTGCATATACACCTCAACAAAATGGAATAGTGAAGAGAAAACATCGACACATCTTAAATGTTGCTCAAGCCTTACGATTTCAAGCAAATTTGCCCATATCCTTTTGGGGAGAATGTGTACTCACAGCAGCTCATCTCATTAATTACACTCCTACTCCGTTATTTGATGGTAAGACACCATATTAGCTCCTCTTTGGTAAGCCTCCCACTTATTCACATCTCAAAGTATTTGGCTGTCTTTGCTATGCTCGTAACCTATCATTATCTCAAGACAAATTTTTTGCTAGATCTATAAATGTGTTTTTGTTGGATATCCTCAAGGTAAGAAAGGATATCGAGTCTATGACTTGAATAGTAAACAAATATTTATATCTAGTGATGTTACTTTCTATGAACATTTTTTCCCATTTTAGTATGAAGGGACACAAATTCATGACCATTTACGAACTTCAACTATTTCCTTGCCATCATATTATGATGATGACATTGAAATAATGCCACATGGAAATTGAAGGAGTGAATTAGATGGTACCACATCCACACAAAAGATGACTTTGCAAGATGCAAATTTAAATCAACAAAATGCAAGTGGTAGAGAAAAACAAGCCATTGACCATGCAATCACAAACGCATCCGAATCGGCACGTACTGTAACGCAGGACTCTAATTCAAGCCCACTTGACACAAACGAAAGTGCAGCCATAAATACCCATTTGCCACTTACCCATGTGCCTGAGTCTACACCAAAAACTACTAATGCTACAAGCACCCAACAAGAAGTAATTGAACGACCCCAATGTGAGAAAAGGAAACCTTTCTATCTCACCGATTACATCTTGAATGAAGTTCATGTACAAAACAATGAATCAACCAAAACTTTTGGTACAACACATTTAATTTCTCATTTTATCTTATGAAAAATTTAGTCCTTCTAACTGCTCTTTTTTAACCGCCATCTCTATCGAAGATGAGCCAAAATCTTTTTCTTAGGCTGTTAAGGACCCAAAGTAGAGACAAGCAATGAAAGACGAAATCGATGCCCTTGAGAAAAATAATACTTAGACCTTGGAGACACTCCCTTTTGACAAACAACCCATAGGTTACAAATGTGTCTACAAAATAAAATACAAGGTTGATGGCACAATCGAAAGATACAAGGCTCGTGTCATTGCAAAAGGATTTACACAAGTTAAAGGGCTAGATTATCATGATACTTTTGCTTTAATAGCCAAGTTAGTTACAATAAGATGCCTTTTAGTTGTGGCCTCAATTTGAAATTAGGAATTACATCAACTTGATGTTCACAATGCCTTCCTTCATGGAGATCTTGAAGAAGAGGTCTACATGCAATTACCACCAAGATATGGCCAAAAAGGAGAACAACGTGTCTGTCAATTGAGAAAATCTCTCTATGGACTTAAAACAAGCTTCTCTAAATTGGTTTGCTTAATTCGCCTCTACTTTACAGTCTTTTGGTTTTCAACAATCATTATGTGACTATTCTTTATTCACTTACCGGCAAGGGAATGATTTCCTTGCTATCTTTGTCTATGTTGGTGACTTAATCATTGTAGGAAACAATTTCGCTCTTTGTCAAAATTTGAAGGATTTTCTCAACTCTAAATTTCATATTAAAGACCTTGGAAGGCTAAAGTACTTTCTTGGTATTGAAGTTGCTCGACATCCTTTTGGGATCTTTCTATGTCAAAGAAAATACACTCTTGACAATCTTGACTGAAGCTGGAATGCTTAATGCTAAGCCAACTTCCTTTCCTATGGAACAAAAGCTCAAACTCACTCTAGATGATGGTTCTCCATTAACAAACCCCATGCAGTATCGACGTTTAGTGGAACGACTTGTCTATTTGACTATTACTCAGCCAGAAATATCCTTTGCAGTTCCCATGCTTAGCCAATTTATGCAAGCTCTTACTCAACTTCACCTTAATACAATAATGAGAGTGCTCTGCTACTTAAAGTCTTTGCCAGGCCAAGGCATATTTTTATCTTCATCAAGTCCAGTACAACTCTCCACCTTTTGTGACTCTGATTGGGCCAACTGTCCTGCCACTAGAAGATCTAGAACAAGTTGTGTCACAATGTTAAGGATATCTTCCATTTCATGGAAAACTAAGAAGCAATCTACGGTCTCTCGATCATCCGCTGAAGCTCAGTACAGAGCTATGCTTCCACTATTAGTGAACTTTTATGGCTCAAAGCCTTGCTTCATACTTTAGGTGTTGATCATTCAAAGCCAATGAAGTTATATTGTGATAATGAAGTTGCTCTCCACATTGCATCAAATCCAGTCTTCCATGAACAAATGAAACACATTGAACTTGATCGTCAGTTCATTCGATATTGGATACAATCGGGTGCAATTAATACTTCTCATGTCACTTCTAAATTGCAACCTGTTGATATATTCACAAAGGCACTAAGAGGAGAAAATCTTCAATTTCTTCTTCGCAAGTTGGGCATCACAAATTTGCATGCTCCAACTTGAAGGGGGGTATTAGACTACGTAATTAGTGGTTAGGATTCAAGCACCCTTGATTGATTTCATTTCCATTTTTTATTTTCTTGTAGGACTTTTGTCCGTTATACTTCCTTTCCATATTTTTGTTTACCTTTTATCATTTATTTGTATCTATAGTTGTAATTCATTCATGAATAGATAGAAGGGAAAATTATATTTCACATAATTAATAAAATAATGAAATTAAAAAAAATTAATATTTATTATTCTTATAAAATAAATAATAATTAAGTTGAAAAAAAAAGAAAAAAAAATAAGATAAGACTATGAAAAGATAAGTGAGAAGAAAATTGTAATGCTTTTTATTCTTCAATTTCTATATCTCCTTCATACCATGCAAGTTTATATAAACTAAGAAAAAATGAATGTTATATAAATTTATATAGATTTATAAATAAAAATTCATTAAAATATTAAACAAAACTTGTTAGTTGCATAAATGTAATGGTTTCATTAATATAATAGTTTTATTAATGTAATTTAATAAAACTTTAAATGAAGTTAAGTGAATATAAAAAATGAGAGATATTAAAAAAATGTAGAAGAGGTAAACAACTACTCATTTGTATAATTTATAATGATTATTTAATTGTTTGAAATCACTATATAGCTTCTATTTTTAAATACCCTAAGTAGTTGATTAAAAAAAATCAATAAGTAAATAAAAGAAGTCAAATTAAAAACACTCTAGATATTTCATGCGTTGAAACTTGTATATATCTCATCACTCAATTGTAACTAAATGAAGTGAGACTCATGACATACACGTGGATTTTAGGTGTATTATTGTATTTTTTTATTATTAATTTATATAATAAATAAAAATTAACTTTAGTTGTATCGACTATTTGATTAAAATATGTCACATGATATTGAAATTGAAAATAATGTTTATTTTTATAATTTTTTATATAAATTAATAGTAAAAAAATATAATAATACATTTTTAATATGTGCGCTAAGAAAAACCGTT